ACAACAGGATGGAGTGAGACTACACGTAGTCTCATGAAGGTCTTATGAAGAATGTGTAAGAAAATCACATTGACTGATGCCAGAGGAGGTTCCCTGTTATCTTCCCTATTTGAGGTCTAAACTCGACATTCTTCATTATCTGGTCATGAGCAATATAGGACTCAAGACAAAAGATCTGGCTTACAGGTGAAGCACTTTACTGTGGCTGCACTGTACAGCTTACTGGGATATTTCTTTAAAATGCTCATGCTCACAGGGAAGAACCACACCAGCCTGTGTGATCACGAGGTGTCCACGGGATCAGGTACCAGTCATCAGAAGATCCCAAACAAACAATCATATAGATGCAAACGGGGACGGTCAAAATGGAGACCCAAAGACCATCGGTAGACAATTGGACATCCTCACACTGAAGGGTCACAAGGAAGAGGCAAGCCAGCCAGGGTGCAGTATAGCACCTACAAAACACACATTCCTGTAGTTCTTTAATGCTTCCTCCCCTACATGATCATGACCCCAGTTATACCTTACAAATCCGGCTAGACCAGAGCTGTACATTGGTAGATAAGAGCTCTTGACACATGGAATCCAGGACAGATAATCCCTCAGAAACAGTAATGAGAGCAGCAATATCATGAGGGTAGGGGAAAGTGTGTGTGTGGTGGGGGGGGATGGAGGTAGAAAGGTAGAAAGGGGGAACTGATCACAATGATCAACTTATAACCCACCACCCACCCCACCAGAGGGATGAACAAGAGAAACGGGGGTGAAGGGAGAAAACAGACAGTTTCAGGTATGAATATAATTTATCAAGGTTTCACAAGAGTGGGAAGATGGAGAAGAATTTAGGAGCTGATACCAGGGGCTCAAGTAGAAAGAAAATGCTTTGAAAACGATGATGGCAACATATGCACAAATGTGATTGATACAATTGATGTATGGATTGTCCTGAGAGCTGTAAGAGCCCCAATAAAATTATTAATAAATAAATTAAAAATAAAATGTTCATGCTCAAGCCACCCCAATCCAATTATCAGAATTTTTAAAGCTTCAAAGATTATTAAAATAAGAGCTAAGGTGAAGAACAATGACATACATTCCCACATATAACCTGCAAAACTCGATTCAGTAGATGTATGGAAGATACACATGAACCCTGAAAATGGATACAGATTTTAAACACATAAAAAGCGAGTTGTGTATTTCTCTAAGTGTCTTAGGTCATTGAGGAGAAACCAAAGAAGACTTCAGAGGTAAGAACCACAGAATTCAGTCATAGGGCAGCTGTGACATATGAAGTGTCCCAGAATACACCCCCAAGACCATTCAAAACATAAGAAAAGAAGTAATATTTTTATATGAAGCATAGAGAATGAAAACTACAAAAATCATCTAGCATGATCTATATAATTCAATGTTCTCATTATTTGGTTTTGATGGGGGTTTTTTAACTTGAACAACAACAAAAAAAGGCAAAGGGATCACCTTGCTCTACTGAAAAGCCTCCACAGCGCTCTCTTGATGTCCCTGTTCCTCAGGCTGTAGATGAAGGGATTTAGCATAGGGGTGACCACAGTGTACATCACTGAGGCCATGGCACCTTTCCTGGGGGAAGATGAGACAGCTGAACTGAGGTACACTCCAAGACCTGTTCCATAAAATAAGCAAACAACTGACAGGTGAGAGCCACAGGTGGAAAAGGCTTTATACTTCCCACTTGAGGGTTGGACTCTCAGAACAGAGGAAACTATTCTATAATAAGAGAAAAGGATCCCTGAAATTGGAAGAAAACCAGACAGGGCACCAACAATGTACATCACTATGTTATCGGTGAATGCGTCAGAACAGGCAAGATTGAGAAGTTGAGATGGGTCACAGAAGAAATGAGCAATTTCCACTTCCTTGAAATAAATAACTCGCAACACTACCGAATTGTGCAACTGAGAGACTAAAAGGCTGATGAAAATGGACACCGAAACCAGAAAGCCACATAGGCGGGGTTTCATAATAACCCGGTAGTGCAAAGGATGACAGATGGCCACAAATCGGTCATAGGCCATCGCAGCCAGGAGCAGACTGTCCAAACATCCCAAGAGCATAAAAAATGACATCTGGGTCAGGCATCCTGCATAGGATATGACTCTCCTGTGAGTTTGGAGGTCTGCAATCAACTTTGGGACTGTGGTGGATGTGAAACCAATGTCAGCCAAAGACAGGTTGGAGAGAAAGAAATACATGGGGGTGTGAAGCTGGGCATCATAGCTGACAGCCAGGATGATGATCAGGTTCCCAATCACAGTAACCAGGTATGCGAACAGAAACATCCCAAAGAGAAGCGGCTGCAGTCCCGGATCCTCAGAGAGCCCCAGCAGGAAGAATTCTGAGACATATGTAAGATTCTGTGGTTCCATGTGGCTGGAGCATCTTTTAAAAAAAGAAAAGAGTAAACAAGGAAACAATTAATTGGCGCTCTTTCCTCATCTGGAATTCAAAAAATCCATATGTGTTCATACTTGAGGACCATCTACCACAATATCTTTAACAAGGTTTCTTAGTTGTTGCAAACCTGTTCTCCTTAGAACTCTGTCCTCTTTGGTGTCCATGAATTACCCACGTCAGATACACAGAGCTGAAGAATATTAAAGGACAAGTGCATTTAGAGAATATGGTCCAAGTAAACTACAGCCCTCCCCTTCTAAATGAAGCCAATGAATTTAAAAAAACATCCTTTTAGGGAAAACAACTGCAATAATTAAACACACTTTGTTTTTGCTGTTATATTTAGATGCAATCGAGTTAGTTCCAACTTAAAGCAACCCTATGCACAGCAGAATGAAATACTCCATCTTTCCCGTCATTGCTGAACCACCTTCCCGTCATTGCTATGTTTGTGTCCATTGCTGCATCACTGGGTCAATGTATTTCCTTGAGGATCTTCTTTTTCACTGACTTTTATTTTAATAATCCTGATGTCCTCCAGGCACTGGTCCCTAAAGATAGTAAGTCTAAAACACTCCAGACAAGTCTTGCCATCCTTGCTTCTAAGATATAATCTGGCGATGGTTAAGCATTGGGCTGCGATCCACCTGTTCAGCAGTTCAAACTACCAGCAGCTCCACAGGAGAAAAACTGGGCTTTCAACTCCTGTAAACAATTGCCCTATTGAAAACCCACAAGAGGTCATTATGAGTCAGCATTGACTGGATGGCAGTGAGTGAGTGCCTTTTCCAAGACAGATTTATTTGTTCTTCTGGCAATGCATGGTACTTTCAATATTTTTTGCCAACGCTGTAACTCAAAGGACTCCATTTTTCTTTGACCTATCTAATTTATTGTCTAACTTTTACATGCACATGGGATTATGGAAAATACTTTGGTTTCCAGCACATCTCATTCCTCAAAGTGATAAATTTGCTTCTGAGCACTTCAAAGACAACATTGGCAGCAGAGTTGCCCAGTAGAGAACATCACCTGATTTTTTTATTGCTGCTTCCATGGACATTGAATGTGGATCCAAGTAAAATGAAATCTTTGACACCTTCATACCTACTCTATTTATCACAATGTTGTTTATTTGTCCAATTATGAGGATTTTTGTTTCCTTTTTGATGAGATGTGTTAGTCTGGGCAGATTAGAGAAAC